TGTAAGAGAGATCATGCAGTATTTGTTTTTCTGTCTGGTTTATTCTACATCTCTTTATATCACAAGAGTTACTATACAATCTGAAAGCCCTCCACTTGCTTTTTTGTTGTTGTTGCTGTTATTTGTTTGTTTGTTGTCCATTTAAATGTGACAACCAAAGCTGAACACTACACTGAAGAGGAAAATGCATTATTCACAGTTCAAAAAGTTCCCAGGGCAGTTCCCACTTCTCAATCCTGCAGAAGCCCTGGCGCCACTGCTCTACTTACAATAAAGCCTCACACATGGAGCAGGTGTTGCCGTGCATTTTCCCATTTGGGCCCTGGATGGGGTCATTCTCTCTGGTGCAAAGAAGTGGTCCCTTCTTCCTGGCTTTGCGGTATTCACTACACAATTCCTGTGAAAGTGGGAAAGAAAGTTGGAAGTGTTGAACATATGTTGGATCAGATTGTAAAAATAGCTGAAGTTCAGACTTTTTCCTCCTAAATGGGAATGAGCAATTGGCTTATTTTAGAATAGTTCTTAATTTGGAAGTCGTGGATATTTTTAGGTGATAAAAGCAATGAGCCCTCAACCAAGAAATGGCCACATATGCACATGTGTACCTGCACACATGCAGATACACACAAAAATACAAACTGTACAAATGTTTCATGCAATTTTAGGGAACTTGTATGTTCCTTGAATGCCATCTACGGATCCAAACCTCCATATGCCTCTGACTTGTTGGAGAAGGTACCCTCACCTCAAAAGAAGTTTTTTTCTCAGATTGTCTTTTATTTCTGGATTGACCTTCCTTCTTTTTCTTTTCTTCTTCTTCTGCTTGGCTAAAAGAGAGAGGTTAAGCAAGAGATGAGTAAGTTTCAGAGAATCTCCATATTGGAAGTCATGTCAAATATAATTCAATTATTACAGTTAACATTTATTAAATTCTTAGAATGTGCCTAACCCTGTGCTCCTACTATGAAATGTTCACCATGGCATGTAGTAAAATTATTATTACAATTCCATTTTACAAATAAGAAACTGACAGACAGAATGCATAACTTGCCCATGGTCACAGAGATAATAAGTGTAGACTAGGGATTTAAACCCTAGCTAGAGGTGGTTTTCTAAACTTCCAGTGCTCACTCTTGTATCTCTGATGACTATCTAGCCTTTGCTTCAATCTGCCAGTGAAGTCTCTACTTACATCATCCATGACAGCCAATGGTAAATCATTCTATCTTTGAAATCCTCAAACTATTAGGAAGTTCTTCCTGGCCATGAGCTGGAAACTGTTTTCCAAAGCTTTCATTCATTGGCCCATTGGCCTCACTTTAATCCATGGAGATAACCTAGAACTAACCCTGTTTCCACATTTAAAAACAAAAACTACTTGAATATTTCAAGACAATGACTCTCCCCTTGCCTAAGTCTGCCCAAGTCTTAACGATCCTCAAAGGACATGGTTTTCACACATTTCCAATGAGGCATTTTTTCTAAATATCCCTTAACTATTTTATTTTCCTGTTGTGGTGGCCCTCTCCTAATTAAATGTAGAAATTAAATAGAAAAGACAAGACCCTCCCTTATTTTCCCAGCCTCAGTACTACTCACAAGAAGGCCTCGCACATGGAGCAGGTGTTGCCGTGCATTTTCCCATCTGGGCCCTGGATGGGGTCATTCTCTCTGGTACAAGGGAGTTTTCCATTCCTCAAAAACTTTCGATATACACTGCAAAGCTCCTGCCAAAATAAAGAAATAAGCTGGACATATGTTTTATCTCTATTCAAAGCAGAAGATTCAGACATCTACATTGGCAGAAACTAATGTTATATCTCCTTGAGCCAGGATTTTGTGTGTGTGTTTCTCTCCAATGTAAAATTTAACTCAACAGCAATAAAAACCTTACCATTTGTTAAGAGATGGAACCCATAAGGCATACTAGGTTGCCCCAATATAATAAAAGAGGTACACAAGCAAACTTCACTATAATCTGAACAGAATAAAGTAAGTGCAAACACATATGTACAAGAAAATCTGAGAACTCGAAGGTCAGAACCATGCAATCTGATTGTGGAAACCGGGGAAGATGTCAAGGAGTAAGAATAATTTAAGTGAGTGTGAAGAGTAAATAGGATCTTCCTGGGCAAAAATAGATTAGGAAATATGCACACCAGATTGTGAAAATAAAATAAACTGAAAAACACAGGTGGGAAACTACATGGTACATACCAGAGCACGAATTTTTGA